TCATTTTCTAAGGCTACTGTCACCATGCCAGCTGCCCTTCAGGAGCTGACTGTGCATCAACTGTGTAGTCTCCTAAACGTGTGATATTCGGGCAAGGGTATCCTGCCATAAAACCCAGAGAGTCACAAGTCCTTGCCAGGTCGCACAGTGGGTTAATGTGCTGTTTGCTACCCCTGGGAGGCCCAGGACGGAGCCTTTGCTTTACTGCAGCCCTGCGTGCCACTCCAGCAGCAAGGAGATGAGGAGTCATAAACGCAGGGAATGGGGCACCAGGGAGCAGCCACAGCCAAGCAGGGTGCCTCAGGCCAGCATGACTGCTGGAATCAGTGAATCTCAGTTTGGGTCCAGGATGGCTTGGTTCACTTGAGTCAGAGCTCACAACTAATACACAATAAAGAGGTGCAAACGGGCCATATTGAAAAATGGCCTGTAGTCCAGCTTGCAAAGAAAAGGTTGTGTTATTCTGCCCCTTCTCCTGGATGTGCAATGATCCTGAGTGCTGTGGCAATGCCAGTACTCAGCAAAGGACCTCTTTCTCTCAGCATCCTCCTTTCCTGATGTTCCCCTGTGCAATGGGGTGGTCTCTGCATCGCTCTTGTCCAAAAAGGAGCTGGCAGGCAAGGGAAATGCAGCCGGTGGCTCGAAGGCCAAGGCAGCCCCTCACCCCTGTGCTGGAAGGCCCCAGTAAGGAGAGGTGCTGAGCTGCTTTCAGCAGGATCCTGCACTGAACAGGTACTCACGGGATGGCCCCATCCCCTGCCCAGGATGGCAGGTCACCTGCAGTCAGGGAAAGATGTCTGTTGCAGGTAAAGCTGGTGAGAAAGCAAAACCACCTCACCAAGACTTCTCGCTTTATTCACACACACTCACATGACTATTAATTTTTTTATAGAGATATAGATTTAATTTAACAACATGGAGTACTTAGCCAGCCCCAATACAGTCTTCTGCTTCTTTACTCTACTTTTCTTCATCAGAAAACTTTCCTGAGGAATTAATCATCCCAAGATCCCCTTTTAAAAGTTATTTTTTTTCTTCAAGAGCTGCCAACTATCTAATCAGATTATTGAAGTAAACTCACTTCTCAACTGAGCATAACTTCTGAGGAAATCAGAGAGAGGCAGATGCAGCCACTCATTCCTTGGGAGCTCTCCAGAAACCCAAATGTCAGTTGTTTCAGTTAATTAATGTGTGCCAATTAATTTATGCCATTAATTTCAACCATATAAATCAGCCTTAATGTCAGTATAATTGAAGAGAAGCTAGTCCTCAGATAAGACCTCAACCAAGGTCAAAACCATGAAAAAAACCTAACCCTTAATGTGGAAGTGGGTTTCCCACTATTTCTGTCAGCATCTCACGTGTGTGGGAGGTGGGTCCATCCTACCAGGTGGAGAGATCTGTGCACATTTTGCTTTCCCCACAGCATCTGGTCCCTCTCACCTTTTAGAAACATGCCCTCTGATAAACATCCAGGATCTCAGACTTGGTCCTGAGAACCAGCTCCTTGTCCATGGAAAACCACAAGCATCACACGCTGACCTGTGCCCCCACCTACACACGCTTCATGCACAGGTATTGCTGCCCTGTTCTGCTTGCTCCTGAACTCTTCATTTCACACACTACCTTCATCAGGGGCATTTCAGCAACAACTGTCTTCTCCTGCCAGAAGAACTACCACCATGACTGTCCCTTTCACTGGCTGCATAAGCAAGGAAACACTTCTTACCCTACATCCCCACCATCTAGCCCTCTATTTTTGAAATATGCAAGGCCTGAAATGTAGAATTTGGGATTTTATACCAGCTAATATTAATAGAAACATTCTCAGGATTTTTTTCTCCCCCAATGTAAATGGAACACTTTTATTTTTTTAAGCATGTCCCTGCAGTGCTCACAGGCCAAACACTGCAGCATTGTGCCTGCCCGGGGAGCGCGCTATAAACACATCTGTCTAGCTGCTCTGTCAGGCCTACTGAGCTCTCTATAAAGCAGGAAAAGTAAACCTGTACATTAAATATTTACTGTTTTCAGCATGTATAATCTAGAAGTGTTTTTAGCAGCACAAGTGAGGCACACTTTTAATCAATGGGGTTTTTTTGACATGGCACTGTTAAAGGCCGCATGGGTACATCCTTGAAACCAGAGGCTCTCCCCTCACAACACGTTACAAACATTGTGTTATCACACAGTGCTCACCTGAAAGACCCATCCTATCCACCATTTTTCTGCCCTGATCCCAAATTATCCTAAAGTCTGAAATCTGAGCTAATGGAGGGTTTCAGAAGCAGATTCCAAGTTAGGCAGTGAGAGAGGAGAGTAACAAACACATAGTTGCCTGTATGTGAAAGAATACAGTTGGGTGAAGTGTTAAAAGAATTAAAAGACAAAAGCAAATTTATCTGAAAGTAAAGAGCCACCAGCTAGCACCAACTTTCTTTTACAATTAATGTATCAGCTAGCTTTTAATGCTTGCTTATGCAGAAGAGCTTCTGCTTTCATCTCAACACTGATACTAGCAGTCATAATTTCTGTACAACAACAGGAAAAGAGACATTAATGCAATCACAAAAAAGTCTCTGCACCAAAGTAGTCTGCTGATAGCCCCTGCTAACCTTTTACTTCCTGAGGACACTGGTCCATGGGAAAACAGTGGGCAGCAGACAGGCTTCCTGGCTGGCTCAAAGAGATGTCCTTCTCCCCAAGGTCTAAACAAGCCACTGTGCTTCTCACTTACTGCTGCTGGATGGAGCCCATGTGATGACCCTTCCTCAGAACAGCCCACCAGTTCTTAACAGCCGGCTCCCTCCAGTTTTATTTTAGCCCCCAGCAGAGATAAGGTAAACAAAAGATTTCATTCATGTAGTTTCTTCTTTGCTCACCTAAAAAAATCACCCTCAATGAGACAAATATTTTCAGTTTGGATGCTAATTAAGTCTAGAGATGGTTCAGCACTTCTCCCTGATCACAGGCACGTAATGCTGGGACGGGCAGCTATTTGCACATTCTTGGACCATAACTCCATCTCCACAAGCATTCTTTGAGCACATACCTGATCTGCTGGCTGCCTGCAAGTCCTCCCTATGTGCAAGGATGACATCGTGTCTACTTATTTGTCTGCTATTGATTTTTTCACTGCACTGTCACAAACTAGAACCAAGAGGCACAACAACTGACGTCCAGCAGCGGAACATCCCTGGAGGAGGTTGTGGCTGGTTTTCTGGTATCACTTAGCTCATGTGTGCCATGAAATAAGCATGCACAAGAACGTGGCTAGCTGCTGCTGCAAGGCACTCACATAACACACTGGTAGGCAAAGGTAAGAGCCCAGATGGAACAGAATGGAAATGAACAGTAACGCAGAAAACACAACTAAGGTCTCACCATGTTTTAGTAAGCTTGTGTACATAGCAGAGAATGAGTAATGATTTTGGACAAAGCCAACAAGCACCTCGGGGGATTCGGAAATTAATCCTGTGACATTTCCAGCAGCTAGCCTGGAAAGTGCAGTAAGTGACAGAAAGCACTGTGTGGCAGAGCATGTTCAGCATCCTGCCAGAGCAGGCCTACTCTCCTATTTGCATGCAAAGAAAAAAAAAAATCAACACTCTTTTCTTTTTTCAAGAAAATAGCTACAAAAATATGCTATTAAAATCAAAGACTAGGCAACTCCTTTGAATGCTCTTAGATTAGTGACAGCAGACTATTTCATCAGGTCACAAACAGCGGGGAGGGAGGGAAAGCATCAGCAGGAAGGCAGAGGGTTCCCCGAGCTTTGACGCAGACTAAGCTTAAGTAAAAGTAGCTGTGATTAAAAAATATAATGAAACAAAACATCTTGGGAAAAAACAAGTTTGCCATATATTTCAAATATATGAAAATGGATACAGAAACACAGAAAAAGAAAACAAACAAATCTGAACCTACCAAGGAGAGCATATTCTGGGCAGTCGACACAGATAAAAGCAGGAGGTGGTTGTCTCCAAGGTGCAGTTAAGCTGTAGGCTAAGGCAGCAGCTGACAACCATTATGGACCACAGCCTGGAAGTGTGATTTGATCAAGGATTCCTGAGGCACAGCCCAGTTGACTGCAATCTCAGGTTCATCTGGCTCCAGTAACTCCTTAGGATCATGAGCAATTATCTTCTGAGCTTGCTCATTTTGTCTTTGCAGATGTCAGTTCACATGCATTGCTCCACTAGGAAAGCCTGCACTCTGAGGACCAAGGTTTAAAGTTAGGAAGTTTTTACTGAGGTCACTTGGGATGATTAACTCTCTGGGGTGAGATTCTCCAGGGCCTTCATCTCAATGTATTCTGGGAAAGAACTTTGTATTCCTCTGATGCTTCAGCCTCCTTCATGAAAGTCATGAGACACAGCTGTGAATTTTTTTCTAGAATTTATAAAGAGATTACAGGCTACATTTTTATCTTCTGCGAGCTCCATGACTGCATGGGATGAAAACAATAGACGTAAATAAGAAAATCCATGTGCAGCCAGGTGCTACCTAGGACCACCCGATTATTTTTATTTTGTGATATTGAGAGCCAAAGCCCATAATAGGTCTTTCCATTGCAAATTTAAGCTATAGGGATGCACTTGGTGCAAACTGCATCTTCTCTACGTAGCCTAGTGTTGAAGTAGACCTGCATGAGAGTAGGTGAACATGTGTTAAGTAATCTACCCGTCTCACTAAGGAAATGGTAGTGGCTGGTACTAAAATAAAGTTAATGTCAGACCCTTGAATGACCATGACCAAGGTATTTTGAGCCTCTGACTGGTAAGAAGGAACTAAGCAGGAGCTGGCTGTAACTGCTCCACATTTCTGCATCCGGCTTGGGGAGGGGAAGCCATGCAGTACGTACTGCCTGTCGGTGCCCAACAAGAACATGCCAACCGCGACTGTCAGCATGGATGCTTCCTGCCTCTGTTACATTGCTATGTCCCTTACATCTACGTAAGTTGCAGTTCACATGTCAAAGCAGCAAACAGCACAGATGAATACTACAACAAATTTTCGTTCTCTGTTTCCCTGCAGGGTGAGTAGGCTCACAAGTCCCCCTTGCACTTCCACACACTGGGAATCTCTACAACACCTTGACAGCAGCCAGAGGAAAGTACAGCACACCTACAAAACACAGTGCCTCTCAGTGCACAAATACTGCCAAGCAAAACCCCCAAATATTAGAAACCACAGGCAAGGCACAGACTGTACAAAAACTGACAGGCATGAGCATAGCTGAAGGGAGGGCAGCAGGGAAGAGGAAGAAAACAAATAGGAAATGCCATACTCAAAAGAATTCAGCATAAACTCTGAGCAAATCAAAGCAAGGAAAAACTTCTGAACCCACTTGAATTTTAGCTGCCGAAGCCTTCTGGCTACTTGGCTGCTCTGCCTGTGCATTGCTATGCTTAATTTGTCCCACTGGATTTGCACCTCCTGTGAGTGACTGAGAGGAGCCATTGACTCTGGGAGGACTGATTTAGTGCAGCAGGAACCAGTGGCCTGGCAGGGGCGGCGGGAGAGGCCCAGCCCAAGGTAGGTAAACACTGTTGTGGTTTAACCCAGCAGGCAGCTAAACACCACAGAGACACTCACTGACTGCCCCTTCCCTCCTCCTGCAACGGGATAGGGGAGAGAACTGGGAAAAAAAATAAAATTCATGGGTTTAGATAAAGGCAGTTTAATAGAACAGGAAAGGAAGGAGGAATAATAACAACAACAACAATAATAACAACAATAAGCATAAGAACTATAATCATAAACAACAATAACAACAATAATAATAAATGATAAAATAATTGGAACATACAACACAAGTGATGCCCAATGCAATTTCCTACCACCCACTGACCGGTGTCCAGACAGTTCTGGAGAGCTGGCCCCTGGCCAGCTTCTCCCTAGTTTGTATACTAAGTGTCATATGATATGGAGTATCCCTTTGTCCAGTTGGGATCAGCTGTCCCATCTGTGTCCTCTCCCAGCTTCTTGTGCTCCCCAGCCTACTCGTTGGTGCGGTGATGTGGGGAGCTGAAAAGTCCTCAACTTAGTGTAAGCAGTGCTCAGCAACAACTAAAACATCAGTGTGCTATCAACACTACTCTCATCCTAAATTCAAAACACAGCACTGTACCACCTACTAGGAAGAAAATTAACTTTATCACAGACAAAACCAGGACACACTAGAAGAGGGAAGGACACAGGGAAAAGATTGGAGCAGGGAAAAAGAGAAGAAAGAGTAGGAGAGATGGAAGAAGCACACAGCAATAGATGGCAAAGGAAAAAGAGAATGAGAAAGAGGAAATTAAACACAGTACAAAAAAGGGCTGGACACTGGATTTAGTAAAATCTTTCTCCAGAATCCACACGGTTGTAAACCTCTGATGTGCTCCGGTTTGGTGCTGGATACTTACTGTCAGTGGGAGCACCAGCACCCGGAGGAGCCTCTGTCCCACATAGCTTTTCATGCTGCTCCAAGGTTCCTATGCACAGCCGGGAAAAAACGATGCTAGGTGGAGGGAAATTAAACCAGTTATTTTTTCTTGATTTATTTCTCTGGAAAGTCTCTTCCCTGGAGAGACACAGGCCTGTGAAAATAACAGGATATACTCAGTAAATCTGAAATACCTGCTATGTAAGCCAACAGTTTCAAATTCCTGCTTTGCATTAGCTGAGCTCCCAGCAACTGCCTATAGCACAAATTGAGAAGCCAGTAAAATACTCTCTGTGACATGAAACAGGGAGTATTTCCCAGTTTATTTAGAACAACAAAAGTCTGGAACAGTACATTAAACTGAACAAAATCTAAAAAAGGAAGATATCCCAAACTTTTTCCTGTTTCCTGATGTACATCCAGGAGAAGTAGACATAAGTGTACCCCATGATGTTTACCCTCCACAGCTTGGAGGGTAAACACTGGGTCATGGTTTGTGACAGGGAAACGTGTGCAGGGAAAGGGTCACAGTCTAACCTGAACTCCAAAGAAACTCAACCCATCTCAAGTGTTGACAACTACTTGAAATTCAGGACAGGTTTGTTAAAAGGTGCTTCAAAGCTTTCGAAGTGACCTTTTCTTGAGCAAATGTAGGTTCAGTTACAGTTTCCCATCAAAGTTGTGTGAATGTGTGGTAAGACATGAAACCAACTGAGAAAAGGCGCTATTCATTGACTTTTCCTGTGGCATTTGCTGAATGTTGTGAAAGCCATAGATCAAAGCAAAGCGCTCGGTGCGTGTCCTTAAATTAGATGTAATTAAATAAACAAGTGTTTGCATAAATCCCTGAAAAGCAAAACTGGCCAATTTAACCATGCAATGATGTCTTAGCTTCTTCTTTTTCAAAATTTTTGAAATTAATCAAGGTGTTTTTTCATTAATCAAGGTGTGTTGAATCACAAATTTGTTCCTCCTGATCATAATGCTGCTGTGTAAAGAGTCATCCAGGGAAAAAAGTACCAGCCAGATTCCCCATCTAAAAACCACTTTAGGGTTTTAAAACTAAAGTACCACAGGAAAACCCATACACTTGTGAAACCAAGGGAAGACCACTGGAGTGGATAGCTTGGAGTCTGGAAATGGGACTGTCCTACTTCTCATCACCAGCTGGGGCTCAGCTAAATATGTGGAGATGGAAAGTTGTTACTGCCATTACTGGCAGCCATCAAAGCTTGCTGGTGGTCTCTCTTGAATTCTTGCTGGACACATTAAATAGTTCCTGTCATCAGAAATGGTGCTACGTGGCACACATTGGCAGTCTACAGAGAGAGCTGCATGCAACTAAAGACTGGTTTTCCCTTTCAGCAATTGTCCTTTCTGGTCGAATTTTGAGGCATACAAGTGATGAAGAAAAACACTGATGCCTTCTGAAGCACATGTGTTCTGGGCAAAGAGCGCTCAGAGCTTCCGTCCCATCACCTTTCCCCACTCCCTAAAACACCGCAAAGTAAAACGTCAATCCAATTTACCGGAATGAAAAGAAAATCTTTAAGAGAATAAATTGGGGAGGGAGGGAAAACTCTACAGTTAGGACCCTCTATCAAGACTGGCCTAGGCAGGGGCCTGGCCACTGCCGGGAAGAAGGACAGCACTGCTGAGGACACGAGCCCTTCACAGGCAGTGCAGGACATCCCTGAGGAGGAGTTCGGGGGCGGGCTCCCCAGCCCGGTTGGCAGCGGCATCGGTGTCCCCTGCGACGGGGACGCCCATCGCACCGCCCCGTCCCCGGGGTCACGGCATCCCCCTGCGGGGAGAGGCTGCCCCATCCTGCAGCGCCCATCCCATGCCGTCCCATCCCACACAGTCCGGTCCTGCCCCGGGACCCCGTGCTGCCCACGGAGCTCGGCGCTGCCTGCGGGTTTGGGGAGCCGAGCCGGGCTGTCCCCCCGGGCCGCTCCCCCCGGGGCTGGGCCAGCGACAGGTGCGCGATGGAGAGGCGAGACCTCCCGGTGCCCGCGGGGGCACCGCAGGGCTTCCGGTGCGGACAAACAACAAGGACTCTCCTTTCTGCGGCCCCAGCAGGGCCCGACAAGGTGCCTCATCGTTCCCGCTGGTGTGGGAACACCCAGGGAACAGCACACGGGCCCGCGGCCCCGGGAGCGGCACTTACCGGAGCCCTACGCACCGTCCCCACGAAACGGTCCTTTCTGTCATCCTTTCGGCCGCCGGGCAGGCGACGAGACGTCCGGGCTCGGCTCCTCCGAGCGGCGGGGCTGCGGCTGCCTCCCCTCCCCGGCTGCCCGTCCCGGGCAGGCGGCACGCAGGGACACCCGCTGTATGGGAATGCCGCAGCCAGGTTAATCACATCCCTCCTCTCCGCATCTCTCCTTTCTCACTGTCCCCCTCGCCCCCTCCCCCTCCACTTTTCATGGGCTTTGGAGGGGTTTTTGCAAGCTTTCTCCTCTCCTTTGAATCCGCTTCTCCACCTTCCAGCCTTGAAGGCACAAGAAAAACCCCAAACTTGTGTTGGGAACAATAATCTCATTTGCAAAGAAAAATCCCTGGAATGGGGATTCATTGTAACGCCTTTGGGCAGCAGACCCAACTTCTGAGCTATTTCAATAAAGAAGTGAACTGCAGTAGAACACCAGTTGGCTCCTCCAGCAAAGTTCTCCTAAATCATGATAGACAGATTGCGTGAAAAACAGGAATTCCAAAGAATTTCCTGCCCTGGGAACAGAAGTTAAGGCTATATTTAACAACATCTGAAGCTGTCAAGAATGCTTTGTGGTTGGATAACAGAGCAGAAAAATGTGAAAAATGCAGGCTACTGCTATACCAAATATGGAAATATTGTTACGTCTGGGGTCTAAATCCCATCTGGAAATACTTACAGCCAGGAAAAGAAAAGACGCCACAACAGAAGCTAAATCTCTCCTCCCCACCCCCAAATATTAAACTTCAACGAGGCAATACTATTCCAGGGCACCCAACTTGAGTGAGGGACACTGAGGCCGGAGATACACAGGTTGACGGGAGGGAGGATGTTCGCCGCGTGGCCATCCCGTTCCCGGTCTGGAAACCGGGCCTCTCGGTGCCGCTGGGCACAGCCAGGCTCCCGGGGTCTGCCGTACGGGGAAGGGTTGTGACTGTCCCTCGCATGGCAGCAGCGCCAGGGCCCGAGCCCCGGTGACCCCCCGGGCAGTGTGATCCGGAGGGGCAGCGCCGCGGGCGCCCGGGGCGGGCAGGGCAGCTCCGCTGTCCCGTAGGTGTCCGGGCGCCGCCGGCACAGCCCCGAGCGCGGACCAGCGCCTCCCGTTACCTCTTGCGTTCGCGGGGACCCTCCGCGTCCCGGCGGGAGGGGAGCGGCTCGGCGGCCCCCCGCGCTGTGTCCCGGCCGGCCGGTCCAGGGGCGGAGGGACCCCCGCGGCACCGCGCGGCCGCCGCCTTGGCCGCGGTGCCGGAGCCGGGGCGGGGCGGGGCGGCCGCGGCGCGCGCCAGCCACATTCCCTGGGATGCCGCGGAGCGCTGGACGCGGCGCGGCCCGGGAACGCGCGACGTCACGCCGCGGCGCACGCGGCGGCCCGCGCCCCATATAAGGCGGGCGGGCCCGGAGCCGACCGCGCCGGCCGCGCTCTCCGCTCCGCGCTCACGACGGTCCCGCTGCTCCGGCGCTGACACTGGCTACGCGGGCACCCGCCCCCTCTGGCGGCCGCTCTCCTCTGCCTGGCCCCTGGTAAGTGCCGCGGCTCTTCCCGCGGCCGGGGAGGGGGGGCGGGTCGGGTGTCCCCGCTGCGCTGCCGGCGCTCACCGTGCGCTCCGCTCCGCTCCGCAGGCTCTGGGCTCGCCCTGCCCCGCCCCGTGTGCCAGTGCCCGGCGGCCGCGCCGCAGTGCGCCCCCGGCGGTGGGGCTGGTGCCCGGACGGCTGCGGCTGCTGCAAGGTCTGCGCCAAGCAGCTGAACGAGGACTGCAGCCGATCGCAGCCCTGCGACCACACCAAGGGGCTGGAGTGCAACTTCGGGGCCAGCCCCGCCGCCCTGAAGGGCATCTGCAGAGGTAAGCGGCGACCCCGCTCCCCCGGGACGGACCCCGCGTCCCGCACTGCCGGGATTCGGTAATTTCGAGCCCATGTATGGTTATGCTTTGTTGTCGGTAGCTTGGCAGAAAGGCACATGACTTCAGCAGTCTGGAATGCGATTCAGTATGTCTGGGCTCCGCTAAACGCACATAAGGAAAAGTGATTCCTGACTAAGTTATTGTTCTGGCCCCGCGTCCCCGGGGGGTTGTAGGGAGCTCCGCTGTACACTGAGTTTAACAGACCAGCAAATACCTGCGCTTAAACCAGCGATTCCCGCCGCTGATTCTCTTCTTTCCCTCCCTGTTGATCTCTGCAGCACAGTCCGAGGGAAGACCGTGTGAATATAACTCCAAAATCTACCAGAATGGGGAGAGCTTCCAGCCGAACTGTAAACACCAGTGTACGTGCATAGATGGAGCTGTGGGCTGCATCCCGCTCTGCCCGCAGGAGCTCTCTCTTCCCAACCTGGGCTGCCCCAGCCCCAGGCTGGTCAAAGTGCCCGGGCAGTGCTGCGAGGAGTGGGTCTGTGACGAAAGCAAGGATGCGCTGGAAGAGCTGGAAGGCTTCTTCAGCAAAGAGTTTGGTCCGGATGATTCCGAAGGCGAACTAACCAGGAACAACGAGCTAATTGCCATTGTGAAGGGAGGCCTGAAAATGTTACCTGGTGAGTGTGAGTTTATCTGCGTGACATTAAGGGGAGGAGGCCAGAGAGTGGCTATATGACTCCTTAGACCCCAATGGAAAGAAAGAAACACAGTGAGAGAATATATTTAGGCTAAGCCCTCCTTTTCTTTTCCAGTTTTTGGATCCGAGCCACAAAGCCGAGCTTTTGAGAATCCCAAATGCATTGTGCAAACAACTTCTTGGTCCCAATGCTCAAAGACATGTGGAACTGGCATCTCCACAAGGGTGACCAATGACAATGCTGACTGCAAGCTCATCAAAGAGACCAGGATATGTGAAGTGAGGCCATGTGGCCAGCCTAGCTATGCCTCCCTAAAGGTAAATACAGACTCTTCTGGTGTTCCTTTTCTTTCTAAGCTGCTTCGGGTAGGGGGTAAAGGCTGGAGAAGAATCTCCTGCTAATAATGTTATTGCCTTTACTTTACAGAAGGGAAAAAAATGTACCAAGACTAGGAAGTCCCCATCCCCAGTGAAGTTTACTTACGCCGGATGTTCCAGTGTGAAGAAGTACCGCCCCAAGTACTGTGGCTCCTGTGTGGATGGCAGGTGCTGTACACCCCAGCAGACCAGGACTGTCAAGGTCAGGTTCCGCTGCGATGATGGGGAAACCTTCACCAAGAGTGTCATGATGATCCAGTCCTGCCGATGCAACTACAACTGTCCACATGCAAATGAGGCTTATCCCTTCTACAGACTAGTCAATGACATCCATAAATTTAGGGACTAAGTTGTGTTGGGGGTGGGATGCAAAACAGAATTTTGAAGTAACCAGCCATGGGAGAAAGGACCTCTGATGGAAATGGTGCCTTGCCCATTTGAGGGCAACATTGAGATGTTACAGGAGTGCACTGTGCAACTGGACACTAATGCAACAGAGATTTAAGCATACTTAAAGCTTCATAGTACTGGAGCAATTTTACTGCTTCTTTTTGGAGCACCTTATCTAATTATATACTGTTTTCTGTTTGTAAGTGATCAGATAAATGTTTCGTTCCGGTTATGAAAACTTTACTATTCTGTTCAATTTAACACTATGCTTCTCTCCATCCCTCCAATCTTCTCCCATCCTTTCCCAACCAAGTTGGAAGTTACATTCCTTCCTGAGGTGGGCACTTGTGGGGTGTTCACAATGGCAGCTATTATGTACCAACTGTAGTTTAATGGCAAACAGAAATCAGTTGTTTTAAAGCTGAGTATTTTATTTATCAACCTGTAGCTTTTGTTTTGTTTTTCTTTTTTTCTTTTTTTTTTTTTTTTTACCCCTTCCAGCCCCTGTAATACTGGAATAAGTTGTAAATGATTTTAATTTTATATTCGATGAATTAAAAGAATTTATTTATGGAATTAATCATTTAATAAAGAAATATTTACCTAACTACTCTTAGTAGAGCATTCTGACAGGCAACAGGCTTAACATACAGCAAATGCAAGAGGCTTCTTAGATACTGTGAAAGTTAAAACAAGCTCTACTGCAGATGCAGCAATGGACTAGAAAGCAGAGTCCAATTCTTTGGGTAAATGATGTTTTGAAGTGGTGTCCACAGTCTGCACCCCCACACTCTAGAAAGTATATACAGAAAGAGCTTCTTGGCATTGAAAGCAAATCTTTGATAGACTGAAATGTTAATTAGACTGTCAGATTATTCAAACTGTCCTGGAATGTGCAACATAAGGTACTTCATTAGAATGCAGTGCATGCATGGTGATGTTGAACATTGGGCAAGTCTCTGCTTTTTGGTGGCTGCTTTTTGCAAATTAATACATTTCTGCAGCAGAAGAATGCTTCCTACAGTCTGCAGGAGGTAGTTTGCTTTCACTAAATTCAAATTAAATGAGCTTGAAGCAATGACTTTTGTTAATCCTAATAACCCAGTGATGAAAAGTAAACATACTGTTAACAGGAGAAGAATGTGAGGAATTTCGAGTACTTGTCCAATAGACTAAAAGGCAAAGCAGCCACTCTTTTCTCTTCCTCACTTCTCCTTCCCACTTTTTAAATACACAATTATACTTTACTCTGTGGGACACAGATGACATTTGGCTAACCGAGGGAGTTGTAAGAGAGCTCGCTGGCACGCGGCAAGAAAATGACATTTAAAAAAACCAAACTAGAGCAGGACCTCAGAAAGCAGCAAACATTTGTACTCTTCTGGTTAGCCTGAAGCTGTGCCACAGATAAGAGTGAAAGGAAACCTGCAACAGGGTATTTTTTTTCTTCTTGCGTGAGTATTTTTCTGGCAAAATATTCTCCCAGTCTTTAGTGAGAAAAATACTGCTCATAAAATACAGAGACTGATTCTGAGGTTTTAGAATTGTGAAGGGGTGTCATCCAGTGTCATTAGTTAAAAGCAGAATTGGTCAAGGGTCACTTTTTTATTAATTAGACAAATATCTCAATCAAATAAATAGCCAAGTATCTCAGAGGCTCATCTCTGGCAGCTAATGCTTTGCCTGAGAAATTACAGCCCTCCCTCTCTGCTCAGTCAAGTTCTCTCCCGGAAGGCATTCAAAACTTGAGCTGTTTCGGAATTCACCACCTGGCCACCAGTCTCAGCTGTAACTAAACTTGTCTGTACAGTATTTGTTGACAGTAAAAGTGTGAAATGCAGGGAAGCACTTTTGTTTGGCTTCTACTTAGATCTGGCACTGAACACTTCACTACACTGGGTGCTCACTGAGAAACCATCAGGTTTCCAAACTGGGTTATTAAATGGACAGAGGAAGAGGAATACACTGCTCCCAGACACCCAGCAGCTGCAGGCGCATTCCTCGCCATCCCCACTGTCACTTACACTCGAATGACATCCATCTTCACACCAACGTAAGTAACAGTTCCCCAAAAAATCACATTTGCCTGTAACTATCCTGTACACATAGACCATACGCCTGTAACACACACACCATATACAAACAAAAGCGGCCCTTCCAACTCCTGCCTCAAGTGTGGCTCTAGCCTGGCCCTGGGTTTTACAACCTGCACTTTGGTTTTTCCATGTTTCCTCATGTAGAGGGGTGGTTCTGTAATCTGCTCACTATAAAAATATACTGTTGGGAGAATAAGGGCTGCAGGAGCAGATCACATAAACATAAGTTAAATATACTAAGTGAAATTATTGTGATATAAAGAGAGGAAATGAATCCCACTAAAAAGAACTGCAAGTCTTCCAAAGCTGGGCTGTCACACTAATTCATCACCATCCATATAGTCTTCTCTTCTTTTTTTGCATTTCACAATTACATGACAAAACTACTTTTACAACAGTGTCATTTTTTTGTGTCTTTGCACTTGCTTTGAAATCTTTATATCCTCTGTTGTTCTAGCAGAAAAAAAAAACCTAAATAGCAGGTGTGGCAATACAAAGGATAAAAGCACAGACACCATTAAGTGCATCAGCAGGGCTTTTAGGTAAGGTAATGAGCACAACTATAATCTTATTTCTTGTCAAAAACTAAAATATCAACACCTTTCTTCAAGAGGAATACTAGAAGATGAGGAGTTAGGAACACAATAAGTAATGTACAGGACAAGAAGCTGTACATTTGCAGCAAATTTCAGTGCCAGACCATACAGCTATTCAAATCCTGAAATTAAAGCCACCAGCACTCCTGCGTGGAGCCTCCCGGTGCCGGGCAGAGCCGAGAGAGTCCAGACACCCCAGGAAGGAGAGCAGCACTGTCCATTCCGCAGCAGCCCAGCTCCAGCCATCCCCCCTCTCCCTTCTGTCTGCCCCGGGTCCTTCGGCTGCTCCTTTCCCAGCCGCCGGGACTGTCAGCGCCGCACCGGGCATGGGGCACTCGGCCGAATCAGGTGCTGCCGCCACAAGGAGCGTTTGTCACACTACAGGTTTAGGATCGAAGGAATGTTTAGCCTTGTATTCCACGCACTTACTTACAAGGGTTTGATGCTGGTAACTCCTATAACATCAGGGTTGCACATAAAATCTTCCCTACTAATAAAGGCAACCCAGTGAAGACAAAGTTTCAGCCTCCTTAAGTGCTCCATGACAGGAAACAAAACAAAAGCTGGAATACACAGACACCAGACTTCCATGATTACATTAAATCCTCTCGTGAGATGCTGCCAGCTCCCTCTCCTGAAGCAGCAACAGGTGAAGGAAGAGCTGACATCGTACTGATAGTGGGACGACTGAGCTACTACTGAACCCTTGCTGAGCCGTGAGAATCTCTGTACTCCACAAATCAACTCCCACAGAGCCCACGGCAGAGCAGCCCCACTGGGCTGCCTGACCCTCTAGGGGACATCGGCTGGGAACAGCCACATCTCCCCGCTACAGGTGGGCAGCCAGTGGGCTATGCAGGAAAAGGCAGAGACACTGGATCAGTGGGATTGCTGCAGCAGGATTTCCAGTCCACTGAAAGTGCATGAGTCCCTCAGAGATCTTGAGGACTGAAACAAAAGAGTTCGCAGTGGGCAGTCATTCAGGGTTGGAAGTCAAACCTACGCACCTACACAGAAGCAGTTAAATGTGTCACAGCAGTCTTGCTCTTGCCAGATGCTTGCCCTTCTGAGCTGATCCTGCAGAAACCCATGTGCACAATTTAGTTTACTTGTGCAATCGGCGGAACTATTTCCACACAGGGCTCCGAGTGCTCAACACACAGCAAGGAAAGACTGTGTTGTTCTACCAGCTGCTCTGTCTCAAGCCAGTTTTTTTCACGTAGACATGTTCCTGTTTTCACCTTCACAGTTTTTTTCTCCATGTTACATAGCCACAAATAAAACAGCACATAGAAACACGGAGGTGTCACAGTGAAAGCAGTAACATACAACTAGCTTTGAAGATACCTATTAAATGCATTGCAACTCATGAACAACTGAACTGCATTGAACTGCAGTGAGACTTGATGTCTAGAAAATATAAATCCTGTAAAAAAAGACTCCAACCAACAAAATGACACAATAAGCATCTGTCTATTATCCTATAAAGACCAAACACTAAGAAATTGAATAGATGGCATCCACTATGCTATGATTTTCCCTCCACATATAAACTACAGAGCTATGACTTATGTGTACACCATTTATATTGGAGAAGATCCTGAAAGACCCCAAGGCACCAGTCACATAAGCAACTTCGTCTGTCTTGAAGTACAATCACTTACAGGATGGAATGTAGCAACCGTCCAGGAGGGAAAGATTACACAGTATTTTGTAGGTTTTCATTCACTAGACAGAAAAAATTCAAAGGTAGGGTACACAGATTTGCCCAGATGGGAATCCAACTGGGACATGAATGTTAACAACTTTACCTCAGCAGTGTAGCTCAGCACACTGAACAATGAACATAAGATCAAAAGAAGCCCAGCGTATCAGCCAAGTCAAAGACACCAGTTTTTCTGAAGCTACTTATTTCCTTCAGCATCTCAAACTAACCAGGTTAGATCCTAATTAGTTAATTAACTAATTACTGACAAAACGAATTAATCATTAGCTAATTAACGGACAAAATCACACATCAAGATGTCATGGCTGTAAAACCAGCAAGTTTATTAACAAGAAAGAGGAAAATATATTTTTCTCTACAGAAGTAGATACTTGTGCTGTAGTGGAACATTCCCACTAAAACCATTATGAATGCCCAAGCACAGCTGAAAATAGAGGCTCGGAAAAAAGGTCAACAAAGAGATATCACTCAAACTTTAGATCACAGAATCATAGAATATGCTGAGTTGGAAGGGACCCATCAGGTTCAACTCCTACCCTGTGCAGGACACCCTAAAAATCACACCATGTGCCTGAGAGTAATGTCCAAACACTTCTTGAACCCCAGACAGGCTTAGTGCTGTGACCACTTCCCTGGGGAGCCTGTTCCAGTACTCAACCACTCTCTGGGTGAAAAATCCTTTTCCTAATATCCAACCTAAACCTCCCCTGACACAGCACCATGCAGTTTCCTTGAGTCCTGTCTCAGGTCATGAGAGTGAAGAGATCAGTGCCTTCCCCTCTGCTTCATCTTTTGAGGATGATGGAGACCGCAATGAGATCTCCCCTGTTTCCTCTTCTCCAGGCTGCACAGACCAAATGACCTCAGCCACACTTCATATGGCTTCCCCTCCAAACCCTTCCCCATCCCTGTGGCCCTCCTTTGGATGCTCTCTAATAGCTTAATGTCTTTTTTAAATTGTGGTGCCCAAAACTGCACACAGGACTCAAGGTGAGGCCGCTCCAGTGCAGAGCAGAGCAGGACAATCACTTCCCTTGATCAGCTGGGGATACTGTGCCTGATGTCCCCTGGGACACAGTTGGCCCTCCTGGCTGTGTGGAAGTGATGGGGACTTCTTGGCAAGTCCATTCTTTTTCATTAATATCTATACCTCAACTTAATTTTTACCTCACTTGAGCACAGTTCTACTCCCTATTGGAACTCTTGGCAAAACAGACAAATTCTGGAGCTACAATACAGTTCCAGTAGAGAACCTGGAAGCAAGGAGTGGAAAGGCAACAGCAGCTTTCATAGTTGTTTCTTCCTCCTTGTTGAGGCAGAACAAGCATGATCGGAAGAAAGTGGCAATGTGATTTTAAAAACACTTTTGCTTTTCCACCAGCTGGAATGATGCAGGAACCAGCCAGCTCCCAGTGTGGTCATTTATTCTCTAAAAGACTCCCTCTCTCCCTTCCCATTTTTTATCCCTCCTTCTTTGGCAGATTATTTTGAACTCATTCTGATTTGTCATGCAACCACACGAACAGCTGTACTGATGCAGCTGATGCAAAAAGAAGCCGCATGCAAATGGATTAGATAAATACAAGGACTCCTGTGCCAGTTAAAAAACCCATAAATTAAATCCACTGTTTCTATCACTAGTTCACAAAGACTTCTCCTTGCCCCAAAGGTAGGCAAGGCTCTAGTGGCTTCCCATATTTTATCACTCTTGATTTTCCCTGTCAAAAAGCCTACTATATTAAGATAGCCTTGAAATGCTTTTCTCAGGAGAAGTTAGCAGTGGTGAAATCAGGGCAAGCCAGGGTAACTTTGCTTCCAAAGCAACAACAGAAAAGCTACAATGCACAGGGCCATTGAGGGAAAGAAGTTCTCACAATAAAAGCATCATTAGAGCTAAGTCACTGTACCATGGGTCACTGAGACCCACTGGGGCACAGTGGGAAGACATTTCTATTATCAAATAACAGACAGACAGACAGCAAAACAACTGTCCCTGTTTTTTCCTGCTTTTACATGTCATCTGCAATTTCCCTTTCAGTTTCAGTATTTATTTTGAGTTGTTTTTGCTGCCATTTCTTGTCTTGCATACATGTGACCTCTTTCCATTTCACCACAGACTCCCAGCAAATAAAACCATATGCACTGCCATAGCAACATTTTAACACAAACACAGGGTAATCTTTGTTCACTGAAGTACACAGTACAGTTTTTTTTCCTCTTATTAACAGAACCTGCATCTGCATACAGTTTAACTGAATGTCATAGCAACTACATAAACACAAATTCAAGATATTTTTTCCTTTGGAGAGAGGAAGAATAAATGTTTTCAGGAAAAGAGCGTGGGACTTAAGAAAGCAGAACGAAAAGTCTGTGACCAAATAGGGCCTGAACTTACTTCATCACAGCTGTATATTTACCCCTGGAAAGTCTCCTCTTGCACAGTATTATACATTCTCAGCTCCTATAGATGTCAATAGAGAACAGCCATATCTGGAGGGCAAGGACTGATGATACAACACATAGCTGGGACTTCCTATCAGCACTACCATGAACTTAGAAATCTATGTACTGTTTTAGAATACATGTTCTGCACTGTAAACAGTTTTACCCCTAATGCAGAGTAAAACTGCACTGTTGACTGGAGTAACAAAAGCTGGTCCTGCCTGCCTTTAAGGACTGCTGCCAGCCACACATTCGGCGGCATGGCCCTCTTTTCCTCTATGGATCAACAATTCCTAATGCCAAGATAAATGCAGTAAAACTTAGAATTCAGATGCATTCATTCAAAACTTTGCTGTTACACTGACAGGGGGTAGAACGTTGTTTATCCATGACAACTCAATAACTTATGCCTCATACCCCAGGAAGTTATACAAAAAAGGAAAACAACCAAGTTCCCTCCTATGGCTGACTCAGTCCTACCTCCCAGCTATTGCTGTGTGCTTAGTTATGCTCTATTTTTGTCCTTTAAGGTTTGTGAAAGGGATGACTTCATTAAGCTTTTGATTTTTTTAAGTAGTGTGTTCATTCAAGACAAGAGCCTTTACTCTTTGGAAGCTGATGGTCCTTCAGCTCAAGCATGCTGGGTTCAGAGTTTGAAAATTGAAAAGTCTAAACATTAAAAGAAATGCTGTAACAACCTACACACAAACAGCTTGTTCCTTCTGTGACAAGTACTTTACAGAGGAAAATAAATGAGTAAGCATAGTAGGCATAAAATCAAACACTCAACGCAAGCTGGTGTTGAATGATGCAGATTAAAACAACATCACACAGTTTTCATTCACAGACATGATCTGTTCTGAATCAAGGCAGAGTCCTGTAGGGATCCTTTTATGATTACAATAGTATGTTTTCAAAACGGACAGAACTGAAGTCTTCCAGACAGCCTTGGCTCCATGCATTACATTTCTAGTGCTTGACCAGAAATTTAAAAATACAGAAGATGCTTTTTCTCTCTTCAGCTTATTACAAGGTGCTTGTTCCATGTTAAGTCACTCAGAAAGAAATTAAAAACTTTCCTAAATGCCTATGAAAGTGTTAAAAAACATCTGCCTAGCCAAAGGGTGCATAAACCTTGATTTAATCAGTAACATTATTATTATTATGAACTAACCACTGTTGAAGTCCCTACAACAGTGCTGTTGCTGTGTTTTTTGATTCCTCATTATAAAGAAAAATTGAAAAAGCTTAGGAAAACTGAATAAAATATTTGAATTGCATCTGGGTTTGTATTTGATGAATCATCACTGTTCAAACTAGTGTAACTGTAAAAACAGGTAAGTAGTAACCTAGGAATGAACGGCAAATGCTACCAAGGCTCTCAATTTGATTGAACTCTGAAAGACGATTCTTAGCTCTGTCTGGGAAGTTTCAGTTCTAGTAACCACCACAGGAATGTTCCTTAATCATTTTTTAAAGCCTTCTTTAAGGTAGAGAAGGAGCTAAATCTGAAGGATAGATTAACAACATCTTCATTTAAAAATGAATTAAACTGTGTTTTGACTCATAAGGTAGCTTAAACTAGATTTATATAAGAAAAAAACCCCAGAGGCAAACCCTTTCGTACAATTCATGAAAACCCCCAAGAGCATAGGAAAGTAATGGGAATTACAAATCTGCGTTCCTCAGCCAAAGACTAATCACACGCACATGCAGATCAACACTAACATTTGCAGCACTCTCCTTACTGTGCTATGAATCCAACAGAAATGCCATGCCTTTACTCCAGATGAAACATTTTCTAGCAAATGAACTGTGGCAGTTTCGCTGTTCTGCTCTTTTATTGGTATTACTATGAATGAGTTCAAGACTGGTTTAAAGTAATTTGTGGCTACCAAGTCACTGTGCAGCAATCACTGATTAGGAAAAGCTTATTCACTTTCATTCAACTGAAAAAATATGAAAGCAGCACCTATAGCTAGGAATTCTAGTCCTTTATAAAGGGTTAAAAAAACAAACATTGAAACAAGAGGTGGGCAGAGGACCAACAATGAGTAAAAAGGAAAACAGAGCACAGGTGGCTACTGCTAGGCAAGAAGAAAAACTTCCCTGTTTTACCAGGGTTTGCAAAACACACAAGGAAAGGACACGTGACACCACTGAGAGAGAAAGTAGTATGTGACTGCAAAGGTCTGACAGTCTGTCCAAACTCAGTAGTGAGATGTCATGGTGAGATGTCATGGTGAACAAAAGGAAAAACCCCCAAATTTCTAAAACTCTGAACATCCCCAAAATCCTCTCCATGCAGCAACATGACTGGTGAGGACCTAGCATCCTGGGGCCCTGAAGCCTAGACAGAGCCTGGAAGCCTCAGCCCTCCCCTGTATTGCTCCCACAGCCTCCTGTTACCTCCACAAGTTCCTTCACTACTTTCTGCTGTATTTCTACCTACTATGTCAGCACTGGCAGGAAGAACGCTTACAACTGAAATATCATCATCATGGCAATTGAACATGCACCCAGGACACCAACTTTTGTCACAGATGGTGCCAGTCTCAAGCAAGAGACAGAGACTGGGGTAATAATACAGGCAGCAACAACCTCATAGAGTTGTTCAGAGGCTCACTTGTCCTGCATCACTTGCAACAGACCCCACAGGCAGGGGGGACTTGGATGCAGGGATATGTGGTCTGTGATCTAGAAATCTTCCCAGAAGTTAACCACAAACTTCTATTGTCAGCAGATGATAAAGTACAGGTTTTTTTTTTTTTCCTTTACAATTTATTTGTTTTAAAGTAGATAAATGGAGTTGATATGCCAGTAAGTATTTACAATACCTAACTTCAGTAGGTATACTAGGAACATGAGATGCAGAACACTAACATTCTTTAGAAGTGCAGTATATCTGCATCAGTGCCACTCTATGCATCCAATTCTGTTGATTTTAAACCCCACGCTAATGTAGAAGATCCGGGTAGAAGATTAAACATACAGCAACAAGCCACCCTGAAAACACCTGTCCATTAACATATTGAACAAGAATGAACCAAGTAAGACAAAAAAAGTATTGCACCAAAGCACCCAAAATGTCACCATAAAAGACTAAAGTCAAAAGTAACAAAAGACCCTTTTCAGGGTCTGTGTCTAATGAAACATCAATTTCATTAGAATTAGATTTCATTTTTCTTCAGTAAGTTCAAGCATTAAGACCCAAATCCACATAAAATACAAATATGTGGTCAGATATTTAAACCTGGAAGTTAGACACTGAGCTTGATGGAAGAAAATGAAAAAAATGAAAAACAATGGTGCAATTGAAGGCTGCAATTAAATAAGAATATAATTTTTTTTCTGGAACCAGCAATTCCCCATCTCTTTATTTACATCCCTAAATATGCATTACTAAATCCAAAAATAGGCAGGCACTTTAGCGAAGAAAGTTAAACCAAACCTCTAGGAATTCAGTTGTATAAAAAAATCATTTAATTAAATAATTAAAAACCCAAAAAGCTCATTCCACCCTCTCCTCTCAAAGCACCGTCATGAACTGTCCCGAATTTCCCCTTCCTCCATAGATGAAATAGATGAACTTTCACTGTCCGAGTTCGCTACAGGTTCACTGCCATCTGAGGATACAGAACACAAAAACCAAACAAGCAATTAGTTTCAGTAATGTTGTTGGTTCATCAAACAGAAGCAGTTTCCTATTTTCTTTTCCTTTCAATCACACTTTTCTTGAGGACAGCTATTTCATAAGACATAACCAGTCTCACAACTGGGTACGATCTTGTTGTTGAAGGAGAAAGCAGGCAATGTTGAGAATTTATTTTAGTTTTTAAATCTTGGTCTTTCGGTCAAGTAGAAAAGCACAAAACTCTTCCTCCACCGAGAATTGTAAGTCATTCGCTTGGTTTGCTTTAATGTTGTTTTCGAGTTGCTACATACACGTATTGCAACTGTAACGCATTATAAGTCATTTACACTTTTACTATGGGGAACTACTGAGAAATTCAAAACAGAAAATTAAAATGATGTACCTACGTGCTTCTTCCACATGTTCCAGCATCCCAAAGATGGCGATAAACCATGTGAATCCATAGCTAAGGCTGATGAGGTTCAAGCTGCACAACAACTTGTGCTTTAGGGCATGGCTATTGTGCTCTGCTGAGATCATATAGCGAAGCACTCATTTCCAAAACTGGTCTTCAGCCTCACACCCCATGAATCCTTCTTTAACAAGCACTGACCCTGGTCACCTTGTAGTGAGGTCACCAAATGCCACTGGTTGGTGACACTCAAGCAGCACAAAAATAAACTACAGCAAAGCAGGCCCATGATTCACACTCTGCTCTCTGCTCTCATTGTTATTTTCAGTATTTGATCTGACTATGAATTTAAAGACCTTTTTGAGCATTTAGTGTCAGATGCTTCATTATGAGAAAGGGAGCTGATGAAGTATAGTTACTGTCTTGTCAAGATAAGTTCCACAGCTGGCAAACATGGATAATACATAGGACACAGTGTGCACCTGTACAGTTTCCAAGGAATTTGTTCAAGAAAATAGAGGCATTTCACCCAGAAACATCAGAGGTCACATTTTGTCTACATTAAATCTAGTGTATAATCAATTAACATTTATATGCCAGATATGTACTGAGTAATGCAAAAAGTAAGGATTGTTTTTGCCCCTAAGTCCTGTGAAAGCTTCTATAATCCCCTACTATCTTCAGCCATGACTGACCTTGTATGCTGAAATCAGAGCACCTGTAGGCTTTGCTATTAAGCAAGTCAAGCATCAAAACATCACATAAAAGAATGTGGCAATCTTCTGACTCACAGCAAAGCTCAACAGACAAATTTTAGCTTTATTTTTGTCTGTTACAATAAGTTTTATTTAACAGGAATTATAGATTGTCTTCACTCAAAAAGAACATATTTGTATGGTGCTGACAGCATTGCCTATAAATTAAGATTGCCCATTCCCACCATAAAACTGTCTGCAGTTTACTTATAATTAAAAATTTAAACTCCGGATTTTTCAGTGGCAGTTTCTGTTCTCAATCCTTATTTTCCTTATTTACTTGAAAGTTTCAGCCAAAATACATCAGTCATTTCTGAAAAAAAGGAGAGGAAAAAGTCTTCATGCTCATTAAATTTTAGCAGCTTCTCTTTGAAGGTGTCCAGCTCTAGCTCTCCCCCAGTCTTTGGGGGTTACTACTTGAATCACAGGTAGAATGGTGATCTTTCCCCAACGTGTGCCTGTTGCTGTGGCTATAAAAACTTGCCTCTGTTCTTCCCGAGGAAGGGGGTAGATCTGAGACTGCTCAGTAAAGAAACAATATTTTAGCAATTAAAATTCCCACAAGACTTTGTTCCTTGTTCCAGCCTGGGTCCCTTGCCAGCAGAGTCAGAAGGGTTATGGTAGCTGAGCCCTCATACTGCAGCAGACACCCTGCCAGACATCCACTCATCAATGTGGCAGCTGTTTGCCTGGAATGCAAAGGGAGGTCAGCCGGACAGGCGCTCTGAGCGAGACAAGTGTCCCTCCAGGGGCACAAGTAAGGCAGAAAGGAAAGGCAGTATTGGTAGAAATAGGATAAGCAAGAGCAGGATGGATGGCTTAGGAGGAGCATGCAACTGATACAAAAAGCCATACATGGCAAAGAAACTGGACTGCAGGAAGCACAGAAGATGCTGTAGCAGAAAGGTCACCTCTTGGGAGATGGGAAGGGGCTAGAATTACAACAGACTTCTCCCTGGACAGTCTGGAGATGAACTCAAGATTTGCACTCTTAGCAATTATCTGTGAATGCAACTGCTAAAGCAAAATGAAAACTGTTTTTTTTCCTCCTATATTCTGTAAACATGACACAGAACAGAAGAGTACAATGATTGTGACACACTTCAACAAAAGTGGTATTTTGTCTTCAGACAGAATAATAGCAACAAAAAAGCCCTCCTAGTTTTATATTCATGTTCTGAACACAGTTTTTCTGAAAGAATCTGAAGTTAGTGTCACAGGCTTCCACTCTTAATAGAAATAATTCCAAGAGCACAGGATCCAAAACAAATTCAAGGTTGTTTGTCATCCTAACTGAGAAGATGACAAAAATAAGTTATGATAAAAGTTGCAAAAATCATGATATTTTTGCCATAATTTTTGCTGTGTTATACCCAAGACACCTCAATAGAGAGCTATTAAATTCTTTTTTACGGAATATATAGAAACAGTTAAAACAACAATGAAAAAAAAAGAAAACTAATAGTTCTCAAAACCTGAAATAGCTGTCAGTGTTCCTAGAATACCAGTTCCAGGGATGACTGCTAACCCAATGATCCCTGCAGCAGAGGAAGCTTACTGTCCTTAAGATACACACTTGCCCTGCCCTGTGACAGAGCTTTCCCCAGCTATTACTGTCTCTCTCTTCCCCTTCTCTGCCTTTTACAGAATCAGCTAGGTGCTGCAGCAGCATGACCTCAAAATATAGTTGTTCAATCAACACTTTACTTGAATCTATACCCTTAAAAGGACAACCTCCCTATTAGCTCAGGAGACAATGACAACAACCCTATTCAGATTAAGTATATGAGTCAATCAATTGTAATTCCCTCCTGATCTCAAAATCATAAGGGTAGGGCTGACTAATGAAAAGCAAGGGATCTATATCCAGAAATAATGGATAAACACAAAAATACCTAGTTTCATGTACTCCAGTGTTTGTTTGTGCACTCCCAGGGTGAGTATCAGTAGACCCAGTTATGTAGACAACACTCCTACCTCATCCCCTGGCACACTGTCTCACTCTCAGAAGCCCTTGCAGTGCACAGCCCAATGAATTTTAACACGCCATATCTTTGAGAGCAGGTTGCCCTCACTTAGTGGATCACTCAGTGTAATCTAGCCAGAACAGCCAAGATCCATGGAAGCTCAGTATCACTGGTACAATATTCTCAGTCACATATTTATTCAGTTAAATCATACAGATACAGAGCCATGATTGAGCTGCCACAGGGAAACAGTAATTGAAAATATATCTCAAAGCTTTTCCTCAAAAATTTGTAAAAATTACAGGCTGGCTCACCACTGAAAAGTATGGAATTTGACAGCTAAGTTGACCAGGTGGGGGACTAGGAGACAAGAGAACTGATTCCCTATTTCAGCAGCTGCAGAAAGAAAAGCCTTTATACTGGGGAGAACAATGGAAATTCACTTAAAAATTAAAATACAAATTCTTGCTAGACCTGGAATCTCTTTCAAGCTAACTCCAAGATGAAAGTTTTCCCTCAAGTAAATTTCAAAAGATAACACTGTGCTTTTAACCCACCCCAAAACCTACTTTTCCATTATGATTCCTAATAAATATCCCACAATTCAGAATTATTTCTCCAAAGTTAGGAGCTATGCTGGGATGCAAGATTACCAGGTTTACTTGAAACTCATCTTCCCCAGACAGCCTGACTTTGCTACATAAAAAAATTAGCACAAGTCTGAAGAGTTGTTTTACTTTAAAGGCTATAAATATTTTTTTAGAAAAAGAATAAAGCACCAGTAAAAAAAGTTAGAAAAACACATACAACACAGCTAATGGATGTAGGTCATCAGTCAGCATTTTTAAGACAAAGCATTCATAACAGCTTTTTTATAGCAATCGTTTTGATTAAGAGTGAAATACAAAACATACTGCCCATTCCTGACATTATCAATAGGTATATCCTTAATTACTGTTTCTGTAAGTAAAATATCTAAGTATAGCATAACAGGAAATATATATATGCTCACCTTTGCCAAGAACCACCATGTCATTCTTCAGTGTTTTCAAGACCACAAATAATGTTGGATACTCAATTATTATTTTGCCTTTCAAATTGTCTAAGAGGCTTCTACTGGCATCCAGTTCATTGTACCTTAAAAATAACAGGAAGTTTATTTTGGATTTTAATACTAGCAAGGACATAACATACATTTTCTGGGAAAAGAAAATATCAAAAAGCTCTCTGAGCACAATTACTTCCTCAAACTGTAATATTTTCTCCCAACACTCTAACTAGAAAACTGGATGTGAGATTTTAGGGAAAGGAAGGGTATTTCAAAGGCCTCTGAAGGTGGGACCCTGTTGCTTTCACTTCCTATAAGAGCAGCATCCAAAGGATGCTCTTATATTATCACACTGCAATCCAAGTTATGCAATTCTTTCTGCAATCAGCATTATTAAATTACCACTAAGCTATTTTATCAGCTAAAGGCAAATTAAGTCCAAACCCAAATATACTGCAGGCAGTACGTGTAGTATTGCCCATGGCTGCTGTACCTCCTCTGATCATTAAAATACTACGCAGTTGTATTTTCTTTTGCCAAAACCAACACTGGATGGTGAAGGATTCATATACTTAATGATTTACAGTAATGTGTGATTAAGAGCAGTACATCAGGAGTCAGCACACAACTAGAATACTTAGGGTAAAACAGGATTTGAGTTCTTGGGATTTAAGGGAGACTTAGTTTGAGCAAAAATTCTCTCATATTCAACTTCAAATCATCATGAAAATATTTGGTTTCATGTTTCACTCAAGCCAAAGTAATTATGACCTCTTCTTACTGAAACCCTTTAAGAGGGATAACAGTATATTATATTTCTTATTGAATGAATGCATTCATAACTTGTGTATTAACATACATGAAAAGAAACATATTTACTGCTTTATTTACAGTACCTTAAATGCAAAGTATGGCAATACCTTTCCTTTGGCAAGGACCTCAACACATTCTTTTATGGTTAAGCAAACATTTACCACCAAGAGGCTAAAGTAATTCACATGCCACAATACACTTTCCATTATCTCATATTTTAGACAAAACATCTTTAGCGTCCAGCTTGGCATAAGATAAAACATTTGTACTTAAAACTATTTTATGATAGTAAATTACTGAAGTGTTAGATCACTGAGTCAGAGCTTTATCTTTATTGTTTTTAAAGTAAATTTTATTGGTTGACAGTGACAGAGAAAACATCTAAATTCTTAGTGCATAATATGGGCTGTCAACTTCAGGAAGAATATAACAAAGGAGCTTAATGCTTCTCTTATTTAAACTTGGCTGTTGCTGTCTGTGCTATCCAAGACTTCAGTCTACCACATTCCCTACTTCATACACAAGTGCAAGTTGAGGTTTTCTGCTAATCCACCTGCCAGCCGCTTCCTGAACTGTGCTTAAGAGATCTCAAAACAAAACTAGTATTTGTCACATCAATTCCAAAGTCTAATTAAGAACAGTTCCTGAGCAAGACTGATTTTTCAGGTTATCTCTGAAGACCTTGTCATGATAAAAATCTTCCCGATTTTATCCCAGGACTAGAACGAGGTCATACATCAGAGGGTGAACAACAGAGACTTATGGGTAAAAGAAGACTGCCCTGTAAGGTTCTCTTTTCAATTTTTACTTATGAAAAGGCTATACCGGTTTGGAGAAAAATTAAATGAAATGGCATTTTTACAAGCCTTATAACTTCCTGTAATGATTATTCACCAGGATGAGCTGAGGATGTAGGATAACACTGGAATGGCAGGTCCTTTCCTGTATGTGCAGCAAACTGGTCTCACCACAGGCAGAGCTGCAACGAGCAGCAGAATCCACAATGAGCTGCAATGTTCTTCAGGCCCTTCCTTCACAGTACATTTCAAGTGACAATCCAGTAAAATTAATAACCAGCATAAGTTTATCCTTTCACTTGGACTCTTCCATGCTCCAGGACCAGCTGCAGGAACCAACTTAACTGAAGCTGTCATCCTAAACAAGCTCCTTCAGCCCTTCATGCCAGGATGGATTTGGGATAAGCCTGGCTCCAAACTAACAGACCACGCAAACACAACCATGGCCTTAATACCCAATTTCACATCTTTCTTTTAAACCCTCCCCCTGCTTTCTCTTTTCTCCCACTGCCCAGTTCATGCAAATTGTCTGCACTATGGCTTCCCAATCCCCGTACTCAGTGGGATTTCTCTTTGCACCTTCTCTCTCAATCTTCTTTCCTCCCTGGTATTTACTTTCCACATATTTTCTCTCTCCCTTCCGTACCTTCCCTCAGCCTTCCTGAACAACACCCACCATCTAATGATACACTTTCCTGATTATCTTCTTGCCCTAAGCAAGGCTTTATGCCCATGTCGCGAAGCAATAAAGAGGTCTGGATTTTTTTTTAATAAGAAACGACTCCCTTTATAGGGACCACAAAGAGATGATCTTAGCAGACAACAGCTTTTGATTTTAGCTGGAATGAAATAGTAATAACTTCTTTTTGAAGGACAAAAATTAAATAGAAATTGCCTGCCAGTAGGCAGTTTAAAAGCCTACAAAAATTGTGATAATTGAGAAAATTTAGCAAGATTCAGCAATCCTACATCAGTTCCCATATAAACTGTTCTATTTGCTCTATGAACAGCTTTGTTACCTTTCAGAAAATACTAAAATTAATGTGGGTCTGCACTTCTGATAGCATCTATGAGTTTCTGCAAAGGCTAGCTTCACTATCTATAGTTATTCCACCACCTTCCAGGAATTCAACAATTTAGTCTCATAATCTGTCTCCCACAGGCAGGAATGCTGCATTAGGTCACTGCATCACAACAAGTTCCCCTCAAATGGTGCCTGTGGCTATCACTGCAGTGGCGTAACTTGTCTCCTTGAATTCAGACAGCAGGAAATTCCCTGCTGATCAGGTTTTCCTGAATGTCATCTACAGGAACTTTTATTTTAATAATAATAAAGAAAAATCTGCAATTTGGAATTAGAGATGAATTGCAACCATGTTATTTCTTTAGTTTAGTCTTCTAGACACTAAAAAGAGAACAAACAAGTTTTAGCTATCTAAGTAACTGTAAATATTACTAAAATGCATGTTTGTATAATGACGCTCATGATTTTCCTGTGAAAGAGATCAACTAAACCCTTTGCACATATTTTAAACAAAGATGATTTTTCTTCCTAGAACTGAGTGGAAACATCGAGGTATTTACTTGGCATAACTCAGATACAATAAATCATGCTATCTATTTTGAGCCTAGTCTTAAAAATCCACAACCAAACTTACGCTAACTTATGGGAAGCAGGAAGGATTTTTTTTTTTTCCCCGACCAAAGAGGGTAGCATTTCTTAGGTATCGGCATTCGCTTAGAAGAGGGCAAAGACTGGGTACGGCATTTAAAGTCTCTCCCAAGCATTCATTCTGAAGTGCTGCAGTACAGCAAAGATAATAACTAACAGATGGACTTTCATTCCTAAGTGGTGAATAACCTCTTCGTGTGGTTATGATTTGGTGAACATGGAAGTAGGGAAATGCACTCGAATTAGGTATGAAATGAAGGTTGTATGGCAGAAAATAAATGCAATATATTGACACAATGTACTTCGCTTTGTCACTAGGATTCTGACATTCTAAAAAGCCTAAGACTGTAAATTTTATTAGTCCATATACAAACAAAATTAGAAAATTCAATGAACAAACCATCAGAGATCTTAGAAACAAACAAACAAACAAAAGACTTGCTGTAATACTTCCTTTATAACTAACTCTTATCAACAGCAAAACAGTATGAAAGAGTACTCTGTCTAAAACTCTTTTAAAGAAGGAGGATGGGAACCTAATTTGAGCTGATATTTTAACATGAAAAAAATTATACTACAGTTTACACAAATATATAAAACCTGCTAGCTCCTCCTTCCACTCTTGGTTATGTCTCTTCTCCTGGTCTAGGGGCTCCATAATTTGCCTCAACAAATGTTCACTAACATCTATCTCCTCCATACTATTGATACTTGCATAACTCAACCAATACTGATAAAGACCAGATGCCTGGCCAATCCCTTTTCAAGTCAAATCCCCATCTTAAGTAACACTTCCATCAAAAATGTGCTTTTTCTGGAAAAAAAAAAAAAAGAAAACTAGAGCAAGAAACCTTCTCTTAGAAACCATTTGGACCACAAGTCCTGCTAAGTACCAACTAAAAAAGTACAGGAAGAAAAGTTGCCAGCATATCAGGAAAGCATCTTGGATATTATGACCATCTCCTAACTACACCTGCATACACAGAATACATAAAGGCACATCTAAATAATGAGAAAACCATGAAGCTGTTCCTTTTTCTTGCCATATTTTGGCCACAGGTCATCCTCAAACAAAGACCATCTTAAGACCAGGTGTAACAATCCAGTGTCTCCTCTCTTTTATGGGCTGTAAGAGGCTCTGCTACTAGGGAAATCTAAGAACTGCTAAAAACTCAAGTGTAAAATGAGGAAAAGAAAAACTGAACTCACAAACCCCCTTTTATTACTAACATATTTCAGGGAGTTAAAACATCCTGGAAGAAAAAAAATAATGCCCAGGTGAAGACAGCAGGAACACCAATTGTCACCTGAATTATTTGACACAATAGTAGATGTCCAGAAAGATTTAATGGTTTGTTCACTTTTACCCTAGAAAATAGTAAGCAGAAAGAAGAGATAAGCAAAATAACACTACAAGTACATCACAATAGAAGCACAAAGGCTGTCCTTGTTTAAACCTCTTGAGAATGAGGCAATTGCACAAAGAAAAAAAGCAGAGTAAAAGCTGTTTAATGACAATAATGGAAAAATGTATCAATTGATGGCAAAACCCATAAAGGAGATAAGGCAACTGGTGCAACAATTTAGTGGACTGAGCTTTAAGAGTGATGTGGTAAAAGGATTCAGGACGCACAATAATGATTTAAAGATTAATTGAAGTACAGAACATTCTGCATCTTTTAGTTATAAAAGAAAGTACAACAAAACAAAAGGAAAATGTGAAACCAGCAAATGTCAATTTCTTGCATTTGGCAGAATTTGGTTCAAAGAATACAGAAATAAAGGGATACTGAATTTCAAGAATGCA